CACCGGCAGGGGCTGTAGCAGACCAGCCAGGTGGAGATGGTCCGTCTTGTTGCGCTTGATGACAGACGACGCACCCCGAACGAAGTCGCGGACCACCGATGGGCACGACTGTTGTAGAAGGAAGCCCGCAGCCGATGGAGAGTTTTCTGGACACCCTCATGGCCGGCCTCATGAGCATCTCGGAGCAGCTGCGGCCACAATCTGGAGGTCTCTAGAACTAAGACACGGCCATTGTAGAGCAGCAAGCCGTCGATGAGCTGCCAGCCGTCCGGCGTTGTTCCTACAGCAAGCTGGTGGCGAAGGTTCCAAGCCGCTACGTCATCCTGCAGCTCAGCACGCAGGGTATCAAAGTCGGTGAAGAGGGGCCCGGACAGAGCCAGGACCGCCGCCTCCGTGTCACAGCGAGACAGCGCGTCCGTGACGGTGTTGAGCTTCCCAGCGCGGTACTCAACTGTGAGGTCGTAGCCGAACAGCTTGGACACCCACGTGTGCTGAGGGATCGTCGTCAGGCGCTGGTCGAGGAGGAACTTGAGGCTCCAGTTGTCGGTTCAGATGGTGAACGCCCGACCCCAGAGGTAAGGGCGCCAATGACGGACAGCCTTGACCAGCCCAATGAGCTCGCGCTCATAAGCTGGCAGCTTGGCATGGTGAGGAGCAACTGGCCGGCTGAAGAAGGCAATGGCGCCATCACCCTGGTGCAGCACAGCGCCAAACCCAGCGCCAGACGCATCGCAGTCCACAATGAATCGCTTGGTGAAGTCTGGAAGCTGAAGGAGAGGCGCAGTGATCAGCACAGTCTTGAGGGCGAGGAAAGCCGCTTCGGCCTCCACTGTCCAGGTGAAGGCCTCCCGCTTGAGGAGAGCAGTGAGTGGCGCTGCGACACCACCGTACCCGGCGATAAACTTCCGGTAATAACCGGTTAGGCCGAGGAATCAGCGCAGCGCCCGGACCGAGCGGGGTGGTGGCCACGCCTCCACCGCAGCGACCTTGTCAGGATCCATGGCGACCCCCTCGGCTGTGATAATGTGACCGAGGTAGGCCACAGATGGCTCGCCGAAGGAACATTTGGAGCGCTTGGCGAAGAGACAATGGTCGCGCATCTGCTGCAGCACAGCCTTGACATGTTGTAAGTGCTCAGCCCACGAGTGGCTGTAGATTAGAATATCATAAAAAAAACCAGAACAAAGCGGCGGATGAATGATTTGAGCACATCGTTCATGAGCGCCTGAAATGTCGCCGGTGCATTGGTGAGGCCAAAGGGCATGACGAGGAACTCGAATTGCCCGCGGTGGGTCCGGAAGGCAGTCTTGGCGACGTCGTCCGGATGCATGCGCACCTGGTGGTACCCGCTGCGTAAGTCGATCTTGGTGAAGAAGCGGGCACCTTTCAGCTCGTCCAGGAGCTCGTCGACCACCGGGATCGAGAACTTGTCTTTCACGGTGGCGTCGTTGAGGGCGCGATAGTCGACTCAGAAGCGCCAACTGTCGTCGTGCTTGTGGATGAGGAGCACCAGGGAGGAAAATGGTGACGTCGACTCGCTGATGATCCCTTGGCCGAGCATGTCCTCGCACTGCCGCTCGATTTCGTCCTTGAGGAGCTGTGGGTACTGGTACGGGCGCACCGCCACAGGTGGGGTGCTCAGCAGGAGGTGGATCCTGTGGTTGTGGCGGCGTGGTGGCGGTAGGCCACGGGGCTCCTCGAAGATGTCATGGTACGACTGCAGCAGCTCCTCCAGCACCGCACGGGGGTCGGTGATGACGCGGGCGGCGACGCCCGGCTGTGCACGTCGGTCCAGTGATGGGAGCGACCGTTGTACCAGAAAGACATCGCCAGGGCGCCGAAGTCCCAGACGATGGGCCCCAGCGTCCAGAGCCACTGGACGCCAAGGACCAGATCGAAGCCGCCCAAGTCAAGCGAGAAACAGTCGATGGAGAAGGCCTCCCCACCAATGGTGACCGGAGTAGCGAGGCAGACGCCCGGGCTGCGCACCCGGTCGCCGTTGGCCACCATGACGTTGAGGCCGGCGCGCGGCATGACGGTGAGACCCAGGCGCTGCACGAGCATGGAGTGGATGAACGTGTGGGTGGAGCCCGTGTCCACCAACACCCGCAGTTGGACGCCGCTCACTATGACCTGCAGCAGCATAGAATCAGCGGAGTTGAGGCCGGTCAGCGCGGAGAGGGATATCTCCAAGTCGTTGATCTCGCTGAGGGGGTCGTCCTCGCCGTCCGCCAAGTCCATGAGGAAGACGCCCTTGGCGGCGCACTTATGATCCTTGCTGTACGGCTCCGGGCAGAAATAGCACTGCCCACTTTGGCGTTTCTCCTGCATCTCTGCCGGCGTGAGGCGGCGAAAGCGTGGCCGCGGCCCCTCCGTCTTGCCATCCTGCACCATGGCGCCAGAGGCAGCAGTGGTGGCCGACGCAATTGCCCGACGGCTAGAGCCCTTAGGCGCCGCCGAACTGTTGACAGCAGAGGCCTCCGCTTGGCGCTGCTCGAACGCCCGCGCGAGGCTCATGGCCTTCTGAAGATTGGCGGGGTGCTGCATCTCGACGTCGTGGGCCAGTGGCTGACCCAAACCACCCATGTAGAGTTCAATCACCGTCCGCGTGGCGAGGTCGTCGCAGCGCGCGAGCAGGGCCAGGAAGCACCGCGAATAGTCCTCCATGGTGCCTGTGCGGATCAAGGCCTTGATCTCCACGATCGAGTTGGTGCGGATCGGTGGCCCGAAGCGGAGGTTGACGAAGTCCACGAAACACGTCCACGGAACCATGCCGAAGTCGCGCTCCATCTGGTAGTACCACTCCGCCGCGGTACCGTCGAGGTGCAGGGATGCCATCCACACCTTCTCATCTTCTGGAACACGATGGTCGTAGATGAAATTGTCACATTTATTGAGCCAGGTCAATGGATCCGACTCCCCATTGAAGGTGGGAAACGGAATTTTGGGTGGCCTGTGTGGCTCGCGACGTCGATCGAGGAAATGGCCTCCACCGCGGTCGTAGTCGCGATCCTCGCCACGTGATCGCGCTCGCTCGTCCATAGTCATGGCGCCCGCTGAAGTCGCGGGCGTCGTAGTCGTCGAAGCCGCGGTCAGTGTAGCCGTGGCCGCCGCGGTCGATGTAGCCGTGGCCGCCATGGTCGGTGTAGTAGCCGCCGCCGTGGTCTTCATGCTTGGCCTTCGCCGCGGTTGTCGTAACCCGCCCACCACGATCATCGTGGCGCGGTACGCCACGATCGTCGAGCCGCTGGCCGGAGAAGTCGCGATCGAACGCGCCGTATGGTAAGCGGTCCCTGAACAAACGAGGCCCAGGCGCGGTTGCGCTCGATGTCGTGCGCGTCGTCCTCCACATCGTCATCACCACTGTGGTCGTCGTTCCCGCCGGCGCCCTTGCCATCGTTGGTCTTGCCGGTCTCCACGCGCGCTACACGAGAGTCGTGGGAATTGAGACGGTTGTTGATGGTGGTGAGTTGGCCCAAGATGCGATCGAGCTTTGCGCCCATGGCAGCAGGATCAAGAATGGTGCCGGACATGGAAGTTGATGCACCGTAGATGGTCCCCGATACCAAATTGATACGGCGTTCTTTGCTGTGGAGTACGCAGGGGAGAACGGAGAAGGAGCTGAGACTGGGGATTGGAACGGAGAGGGTAGCGAGGCGCGGTGGAGTTATCGCATGGCGGCAGTGCAGCAGAATCAAGACGTGACCATCGTCGAAGAGGAACCCCACCTGCTCGAGAGGTTCTTTTCTTCTTCGATAACTCGATTACATCCTTTCTAAGCCACCTTTATAGTTCAGGTGCTTTCCTAACAAACCAAGGTTGAGATCCTAAAAATCCTCCTAACTTATTGACTTCTAAAACAACTAGAGGCGTCTTAGCCACTCGCCGGAAGCGGCACGCCTGCCCTCATGGCTTGCATCGCGGCCTACGGAAGAGTCCACAACATCGGCAAAGAAAAAAAAAAAATTTCTGGAAAAGAAGGAGAAGAAAAAAATGAAAAAAAACCTTTGCCGAGTGCCCAGATCTAGGACACTCGGAAAAGGAACCATACACTTGACTCTGTTAAGCACAACATAACATGTCCTAATAACACTTGACTCTGTTAAAATCAAGGAACCATACAATCAGAAACAAATTAAGGTGCTTTAAATTTACCAGCCGCACACGTGGCAACTGAATGAAATGTCAAACCACACTACCACAGGCTAATTGGAAGCGAGGACTGGATAACCAAGCGTGCACGGCAGCATCGTGGCGAGGGCCTAATTTTGCTTGTTAGCCTTTTTGACTGTGGCTTGCCATCCTTGAGTTATTGGTAACTATCCCCTCCATTCATATGTACTTGCTCGTTGTCATTGATATGCTTTTGTTGGGTTACTTTGATTAGTTCTGGGAACCTAGAACAAGATCACTTTTACTGAAATAACTCGCATTGTAAGCTTCATTGTAGACTTTTGCTTTCCCAAATGTATGAACTGACTCCTGCTGGTGCAACAACCTCCAAAGCTTTGAGGAAAAGTACAACATTGAAATAGTGACAAAGAAGCAGACACTTTAGTCTAAACTCTAAACATGTCTTAAAATCAGAAGACTTCATCACAAGACTAAGGACCAGGTCTTCTTGAACTCCTCAAGAGTACAAAAACAAAAACGGAATTTCTTCAGCAAACATATAAAGGCTATTGCTCTAAAAACAAATAAAGCCAAAGGATGCAGATACAATGATAGGCCTTATTGCAAGGACTCCCCTCATTCATACTTAACAAAAGTTCAGACTTGCAGCATCACAATACTAAAATTTACAATGATAAGATCTATCATATACATACTACAGGGTAGATAAGAAACCATAGCTTAGCTTCTCCAGAATGATGACACTTCCAAATCACCTGAGCGCAACATAACACGTCCTACTTAAGATTAAGAACCTGTTTTCCTTCTTTGGTCATCTTCAGGTTGAGTTCCATCTTAATGCCAGTCCTTCCAATCTGAAATAACACTCAGGAAATTATATTTTCCGTGACAGTGTCAGTCTTAGCTGCCTTGCTCAACATTTCTCTGAAAAGAGTCAATACATCCTCTATCCTACCATCTTCACAGTAGCTATCAATCAAAGTGTTACAGGTAGCAACATCGGGTTTCAAACCCATAGAAAGCATGCCATCAAGTAAAGTATTAAAGGTAACAGCATTGGGTTTCAAGCCAACCGAGAGCATATCATCAAGGAGCTTCAGCACTTCGTCCAGTTTACCGGCCAAGAAATATCCATGAATCATTGTAGTGTAGGAAACCACATCAGGTTTTACACTGGCAATTGGCATCAAATCAAAGAGTTTTTGGGCCTCTGTAACCTTTCCTTCTTTGAATAGCTTGTCTATCATTGCAGTGAAGACAACGACAGTTGGACGAATGCCTCTATCCATCATCTCATAAAATAGTTCCTCAGCCTTCTCCCATTTGCCGTATATAAAAAAACATGAATTAGGGTCGTAAATGTTATGATATTGGCAGACAATCCATCATCAATCATCTGAGAAAATTGGGACATTGCATCGTCCAGCTGGCCTATCTTGCAAAGCCCATCTATAACCGTGTTGTAGGTGACTATGTCTGGCACCAATCCTTGCTGCTGCATTTTGTTAAAAGTAAGGATTGCCTCATCTAACCTTCCACATTTACAGTATGCATAGATCTGTATGTTGAAGGTAATACGATGATCAGGTCGCATTCCATTTTGTACCATTAGATCTTTGACATTGTTCATTTCAACAAGATTGCCTTCGGTAGCATACCCATGAAGCAGACTTCTATAGGTGGAAACATTGGGTTTTTCACCGCTCTGAATCATAGAATTAAAGATCTCTCTAGCTTCTGCGCGCAATCCAGATTTACAAAGACAGTCTATCAGCATATTGTAAGTAACAACATCTGGCCGTTGCCCATCTCCGGACATTTCTTTGAGAATTCTGACTGCCTCTTTCCACTGTCCAAGGAGAGGTATCCGTGGATCAGACTGTTATATGTAGCGCAATCAGGCATAATATGTTTGTCAAACATCTGCCGGCGGACCTCCTCGGCCTTGTCCATTGCTTTAACCTTGCATAGGCCATCAATGATTGAGCTGTAGGTCACAACATTAGGCGGGATCCCATGATCGAGCATTTCACGAAACAGGGTGTAAGCTTTCCGTATCTCACCCTCTTTAAAGAAGCCATCGATTACAGTGGTATAGGACACTGCATTAGGTGGGCAGTTGCCATCCTCAGCCATCATGTGGATAAGTTCGACAGCCTCTTCACATTTCTTCTCATCACATAGCCCTTTGAGAAGTGTGGTGTAGGAGAAGACATCGGGGGTGCAGCCGAGCTCAGGCATCCGCCTGACCACAATATTCACCGCATCACTCGTCCTCTTCTCAGCACAGAGGGTCCTGAGCAGGGGCGTGAAGATGACGGCATCTGCCCTCAGCCCCGTCTTAAAGATTTGGCCCAATGCAGCGAAGCCGAGGTTCAAGCAGCCCGCACCGCAACAGCAACTGATGAGGATGGTGTAGGTAGCTATGTCTGGAGCCACCTTCTTGACCATGCGGTTGAACAGGGACACGGCGAGCGCAGGGCCTTCGCGCACGGTGGAGGAGACCGGGGCGCGAGCGACGGTGGTGAGCAGCTGGTTGAGGGCGTAAACGGAGCCGGGCCTCGCTTGAGGAAGCAATTCGTCGAATAGATCGAGTGCGTCCTCGGGGCCGAGGTCCCCCGATCGGTAACACTTCCCGATGAACTGCTCCAGCTCCCAGGAAGGGCGGCGGTCGGCCCTCCACACGTCCACCGCTGCCGAAACGGCCGGCGGCGGGGAAAGCCTTTGGATCGATGGGAGCACCTCGTCGCAGAGTAGGCTCGCGGCCTCAGGGGTGAGACTTCCCGAGCGGAGGCGCCGTCCAATGATCCGCTTCAGCTTCTTCAACCAAGGCGGGCGCGTCCGGCTCGACATGGTCGGCGCTGGCGGTTGGATCCACGCCTCGCGCCTCCGATTCCCCTCCGGTTCGGTGGCAAATGCAGCTCGCTCTTGGGATGGTCCGCACAGCGCGGCGGTGGCGGTGTGCTGGTGTGAGAATGGGGAACGAATCGAAATTAGTTGGAAGCGGCGGCGGGCGGCGGCGTCGAGGATTCGGTGGTGTACTCGCGGTGGCGGCTGGGCTCTGGTGGCTGCCTTCGCGTGCTTGGGGGAGTACTGATCACGTGCCTGGGAGTGGGCCACCAGGTTGGCATGTTTTCTTTGGGCTTCGACGTTTGACCAAGTAAATCTGGAAAAAAAATTCTTGAAGGAAAATAGAAAATTAATTTGAGCGCCAGACAATTTGAGGCGTTATGTACAGAGTGGCAACCGAGGAAATACTGATTTGAGGATCTAAAATGTCAACAACAAACTCAAAAAGTCAAAATGAACCGGAAAAGAAAGAGAGAGAAGTCGACCATGAATTGTATATTTGACTTTAATTCTGTTAATACTTTATAGAATAATGTTTTTTTTGAAAAGGTTATAGAATAATGTTGAATTTATTACCACAAATTCCTCTCATGTTGATGTTGATCTCGTGCTCATATCATGCAAATGAAGCTTGTCGTCTCATTTTTATGATCAGTTCAAAATAGTAATCAACCACGTACCATGAGAATAATAATAGTTTTTAAATCATCCAAAGAGAAGTGAATTGTATTAAAAGAAAAGAAGGTCCAAACTAGACAAACAACGACCCAAAAAAGAGTTTATAGCAAGAAAAATAGAAAATATGCAATTACTATGACTAAGGTATGTTGACAACAACCTACTCTTAAACAAGGACAAGTAGCCACACAGTAAGACAACATCTAACATATGTAGAAGCAAACAAACCCTCGCCACCCCACCTAGAAGACATGACCTTTTAAACTCATCGGTAGCTTAAGTCTAACGTCAACGACTTCTATAAATACACCGTTGCGTCCATGGGTGGACCTAGGTCCAGCGACCCTGGCGCCTGCCCGGGCTGTCTCGCTGACAGACGTGAGGATGCCTGTCCTGGCGACCACAGTTGCACCGCATTTCTGTACTATACCTTTGGTTAGTAGGCTCTACTAAATCAATCACTTAGATTACTGCTTCTCAAGTCTCACGAAGTGATATATATGTAGCAGAAACTCAGCTATCATGAATTCATGATGTACTAGTACAGGTTAATAAATGACTTTTAACTTCTACTCCTTAGTAAAATTATCATTCTTCGATGGTTTCAAAACTCAAAGACTATAAAAACATACAGCTGGCGCGTACCTTTGAGCTTACATAATGTATACTGGACTTCTTTTTGGAGTATAACGTATACTTATTTTTAGTGTCATAGGGCCTGTTTGTTTTCTAGAAACAAATTGCCACCATTTTGTCAAAAAAAATTGCCTCACTTGTATAAGGTTAGTGTTCAAAATATTTGCTTCATCTTGGTAAGACTAATAAAATCTTACCACAAGCTTTTGAATTATTGACATGTGCACAATCTAATTTATATGAGTGATGGTCGATATATTTATATGAACTTATTCACCATTATTATATTCACCTAGGCTCTAGAAAATTCTCGGGTCCGCTTAACGGTCTGCGTCCTCGTTGAACTCCTATCCTTCCCAACAAATAAGCAAATAAAAAACATAATTGAAGGTGTATATAGTGTGTTGTAAATCAAGAGTACATAGAGCCAATAGATCACATTAGAAATCATGATAAAGACATGGTACCTAGATCATTGGCTGTGGTGAAGCACGATACATATGTAGGTACGATACCATATCATATATATTGCTCGGTGATTATAGCTAGCATGTCTTATTCCCGATGACAATGCCTCGAGGGACGGTGGCGGCAGCACCACCACAGGCCCCTCTGTTAGTGCAACCAGACATGACTAAGCCAAGCTCTTGGTCATGCCGCCATTGTCATGCAGGGCAGCTTTGGTAGCTCTCTCTCCCCATTTCCCAATGGCTCCAACTCTGTTTCTCTCCGCCTCCGGCTCTGCTAGCTCCCACCCGGAAAAAACTATTTGATAGCACTTCCTCATTGGCTCTAGCTGGACAGCGCAGAGGAGTGTTGGTGGAGAGGCAAGTTAGAGAGGGGTGTGGAGGCTAGAGCGAGGGTCCGTCGAGGTCAAGTGCCTCAGGACGAGTGGCGACCTCGCCTCCTTTGTCAATGATGCAGAGGGGGCGTGGGAGGCGCGTTGCCAAACTATGCCTCTGATTGGCAATCAGTGAATAACGGGTTTTTTTCACTACCACACGTAGTGCAAAAAGGGATAGCCGGAAGAGTGCTTCCTATATGGAGCTAGGTAAAGCGGCGGTATTTGGCATGGCTACGTGGCTTCTCGCGTGGAGTGGAGCAGGTGGAGCGCTGACAAACTATAGCACTCGGGTTTATGAACAAAACAAGCGTTAATTTAATATTGAAACATATATTTTAACCAATTTTGAGAACTACTTTTGAAACATAATTGAATATTTTTTTTGGGGAGTACTGATCACGTGCCCGGGAGTGATCTAAAATGTCAACAACAAACTCAAAAAGTCAAAATAAACCGGAAAAGAAAGAGAGAGAAGTCGACCATGAATTGTATATTTGAGTTTAATTTCTGTTAATATTTTATAGAATAATGTTTTCTTTTTTTGAAAAGGTTATAGAATAATGTTGAATTTATTACCACAAATTCCTCTCATGTTGATGTTGATCTCGTGCTCATATCATGCAAATGAAGCTTGTCGTCTCATTTTTATGATCAGTTCAAAATAGTAATCAACCACATGCAGTGAGAATAATAATAGTTTTTAAACCAACCAAAGAGAAGTGAATTGTATTAATTGAAAAGAAGGTCCAAACTAGACAAACAACAACCTAGAAAAGAGTTTCTCTTCTCTCTCTCACAACTAAAAAGACTAAAAGGAAGACACTGTTTTGGTGCGACAAAAACTTTGCCTCACCTTCGCTTCACCCCGTGCGATTGTAACAGAACCGACCAATTATACGAAATTAAGTAAGAAAATCATCCACCAGAGCAGACGATTGAGCAAACTTAAGCCCGTATAACCCGGTAGTCCGTGAAATCACGAAGGATTTCAAACCAACTCGTGTCCCAGCCATGATCGTAATAAGTTTAGCGGTCACCAATCACATATTACATAAAAGTTTCCATAATGGATACATCGAGTTTAAATGAAAGTTATTACAAAACAAGTTCGAATAAAAGTAGCGGAAGTCATTTGTTTAAAACCACACACACTCACACGGAGTTCAAATATAGTGCCGGTGATGATCATCTCCAACAAAAGCATTAGATGAGGCGTAAGGAATGACCATGCCCATGGTCCTAAGCATCACCCATTGCAGGATAGAGGCGGTTGATACAATAGCCATAGTACATCCGCCGCCCATCGCAACAAGTGGGAATAAAACCCCGAGTACGAGAATGTACTCAATTTGGACTTACCCGACATAACCGAAAATAAATGACACCAAGGATTATGCGGGCATTATAGTAGGGTAAATGACTCATTTGCAAAAGAAGCATTTTTAGCATTTCAAGAACCTTTCTAAAAGCATTATTGTCAAGTTAATTATTATTAACCCGTCGACTAGATTTGCACCTATACTAGAGTAAACATGTGATTAAGCAATTAATGATAACCACCGATCATTAAGCAACTTCCATATTGTCATATTCACTATAAGCTGCCCAAGTGTTCCATAAACATTTACTACGATGAAGTAACTCAAGTCAAGTGCTCACTATCCGGGAGCGATGGCGATTCGAATCGATTCCTAACCCGGTGGTGATTTATTCCTTACACAAATCTCACTCACCCGCTAAAGTGAGATATTGATCACCGAGTCAACTTTCTGTGTATCTCGAGTTTGCCAGAACCACATGTACCGGGGCCGACCATCACGCACTTTGGTCTTATCATCCCGCTTCGTGTCCTACCCACACTGCTTCGCACAAGGCGTCATGCATGGGCAATCTACTCGGCCGAAAATCTCTCCCGGCTTCAGCGGTCGGAAGGTACTTTATCCGGCCGACTAAATGTAAGGCATCGTTCAACATGACTCGAGGCCCAACAACGGTCGGTCTTAATCGACACAGACGGAAACACTACAGTCCAAAACCCTGCAAGTCTCCGCCCGGTCTCAACTTCATTTAACACTTAGTTATACCATGACTTCATAGCCATCCAAACAGATCCGGTAACCACCTATAGCTCGCAGTGACAGAAATCACCCGACTTCTACCGGTCTAAGCCGCCTAAGCATTGACTGATCATGCGGATACTGTGGTAACAAGGATATAGTATAACAAAGGTAAACAAGGTATAACGCAAAGAACGGTTGCAAACAACTCCTGAACGTAATGCATCAATTTAAAGTAAAGCATTTAACGAAATCATTGCAAACCGGGAGAAAGATGCTCCGGCTTGCCTCTCTCTCAAGGAGCTTTTTGACGGTGATCGGGCACTCCGGAAGTTCTTCAACGTCCTCCTCTTCGCTTCGGCACTTCTGCGGCACAGACTCGAAACGCTCCTCGGGCTCCTCGGGAATGACGACGGGTTCTCGGTTTGCGATCTGTATGATGCAATGCGTGTAAGTGCCTATGCAATCGGTGCATCAAGGAGATGAATGCGATGAACATGTTGAAAGGCAAGGTAGACAACATCATCCAAGAAACTATGCTACAAGCACATGTCATCTACTGCATTCTCTTCTACTACTAATATGTCAAGTTAACCTATCTTGTGAAATGCTTCAAAGATACACCAAAGCTTTACTAATTTCTTAATCACACTTAAGGCAACACTTGCTTAAACCTTAATTAATAATAGGTTTGAATAGCAACCTATATTTCTGATGCTCCTAAAAATCTGAGAAAATTACAGTAGCATAATACTACCCTAAACAGACTACCATAAAAATTTCATGGC